CCCCCTTCCAGTCCGGACGCTTCCCCCCCCCCCCCCCTTCCAGTCCGGACGCTTCCCCCCCCCCCCCCCCTTCCAGTCCGGACGCTTCCCCCCCCCCCCCCTTCCAGTCCGGACGCTTTCCAACCTTCCCCCCCCCCCCCCAGGCCAATTTTCAGCTTTCAGCGCTATCACACTTTGAATGACAATTGCGTTGGACGGCTAGGTCCCCGCCTTCCAGTCCTGGTATGCAACACTGTACCCATATGAATTTTTAGCATTTTTTTTTGAGACAGATAAAGCTTTATTTTGGTGGTATTTTATTCACCAGCTGGGATTTATATTTTTTTTTTGCTATGTAAATAAAAAAGTCCAAAAATTTGAAAGTGTTTTTCTTATAAAATATTGCAAATAAATAATATTTAATCATAAATCTTGGCCAAAATTTTATTTCCGTTATCTTTTTAGTAGTTTATAACCAAAAATTATAATTTTTAAACTTTTTTTTTTTTTTACATTTTTATTTTTTTTTTTTATATTACGTTTTTTTTTTTTTTTTTTTTTTTACATATTGTCACCCTAGCAGTACAGTGTCACCATGGTGACACTGTACTACTTGTGGGGGCTGATTATTTATTTTTTTTTCTACACTGATTGCTTTTTACACCCCATAAAGGCTGTAAAAGCAATCATTTCGCCTTCTCTCTGGCTGCATTCTTGCAGCCAATGAGAACTACTGTGTGAGCTGTGATTGGTCACAGCTTGTCACGTGGTACAAGGCTGCTGTGAATGGCCCTGTACCATGTGACCTTTGTGATCTTTCACAGATTTCACACGTAGTAAGCAATGATGTCAGAAGTGACATCTTGCTTACTACTCTGCATGTGATCACTGATTGGCCAATCAGTGATCACATGATCGGGACCTCGCACAGAGGTCCCTTACGACGATTGGTGTTTCCACTGTGTCCTCTGGACACAGCGGGCACCGGATCGCGGTGCTGCGCTCTCCTGGGGAGCGCGCACAAGCAGGGGGCGGGGAGGCTGTTTATATACGTGGGCTGGATGGGAAGTGGTTAAAATACAGACACTTACCTGTCCCTCAGTCCGGTGGTGTCCTCACCACGGCTGGTTTCCCCGGCTGTCTTCTCTCCCAGGCGCCAGCATCTTCATTGTGGGCACATGGCTGTGACAGCTTGCGGCTTCACAGCCGGGTGCCCACTGCGCATGCGCGAGAAGTGCTGCGCTTTGTGAATGGCCCCTATACTTCTGGGACCTGTCATGTGTCCCAGAACGACTACGGGGAGGGTGTGGGGAGGACAACTTTCACTTCCGATTGCCTAACGAGGGACAAAGGCCTAAAGCGGAACTTCCCCTTTTGGGTGGAGCTCCGCTTTAATAATCGAAATCCTCATTTAAAAATGGCATTTTGTATTTACTCGGGTTATCTTTGTGTAATAACATTTGTTTGGTTATCTGAATCATTTAGGTGTGACAAAAAACCCAAAACAGGAAGGGGCGAATACTTGTTCACAGCGCCATATACAGACCCGGCTGTCATATAGGGGACACCTTCGTCTCTGCTATGGGTGGCATCTAGCACAGGTATGGCTGGTTGTCTGAGGATGAGTGACTTGTGATGTTTACAGAGAGATCAATAGAAGTCTAGAGGTCAGCCGCCATCATTATCAGAGCTGACACCTTATCTGGAGGTAGGCGGGTGTCACATTCTTCCATACATGGCCTCCTGCAGGGAGAGGCCTAATCCTTCCACCTTCCCTGCTGAGGATCAGAAGACACGGTGCTGCTTGAAGAGTCCTTGACAAAGCCGCCTCCTGATCTGTATCGCTGGAGGTGCCCTCTGCTCCTAATCCAAGATAAGAGGTTCATGTCTTCTACCTGTGCAGGTCCTGTAAGCCGAGTTCTGTAATCTCATGCTGATGAGTTTTCCCACCATAGAGGGCTTCAGACTTCGGGAGTTCTTCACAAATCATGAAACGTAGACTAAATGCTCCTCAGGATGGTAGTCTTCTCCACACAACATCAGGGGCCTGTTAGTGGTTGGTGTATGGGAGGGTCTTCTATTGTACAGGTTTTTAGGGGTGCTGTAGATCACCCGGCATATACCCGGGGTACTGTGCACACACCTGAGGGTACAAAGGGGGTACTCTTGTTAAAAGCCATGTTCTGTCATCTCATACTGATGAGTTTTCCCACCATAGAGGGCTTCAGACTTTGGGAGTTCTTCACAAATGATGAAACGTAAACTAAATGCTCCTCAGGATGGTAGTCTTCTCCACACATCAGGGGCCTGTTAGTGGTTGGTGTATGGGAGGGTCTTCTGTTGTACGGGTTTTTAGGGGTGCTGTAGACCACCTGGGGTACTGTGCACACACCTGAGGGTACAAAGGGGGTACTCTTGTTAAAAGCCGTGTTCTGTCATCTCATACTGATGAGTTTTCCCACTATAGAGGCCTTCAGACTTCTTGAGTTCTTCACAAATGATGAAACATAGACATAATGCTCCTCAGGATGGTAGTCTTCTCCACACATCAGGGGCTGTTAGTGGTTGGTGTATGGGAGGGTCTTCTATTGTACAGATTTTTCGGGGTGCTGTAGATCACCCGGCATACCCCCGGGGTACTGTGCACACACCTGAGGGTACAAGGGGTGTACTCTTGTTAAACTGCACTAAGGAACTGTTCTTTGATTTTACCGAGTGTGACCTGTGTCTCGGAGGATAAGGATTGTACATCTCCTGCTGAGTAATGGAAGGACTATGTACAGCGCCGATGCCCAGGCTGGCAGTGATCAGTGCCCTGCTCTCGGTTCCTGCGCTCAGCATGGAGTGACGTGGACAGTTGGTCAGCTGCGGGAGTTTTGCGGTTGCTTCATGTTTCTGCTTGTGACATCGCTTTCTCAGGTGTCGCTGTGTACATTCTGTTTACCGGTTGTCAGGGTGGCCGTGTTTATTCACATTTACACCTGACGTGTCACATATTTGTGTCATCTACATTGTGAGGGGGCAGGGATGTTTTCTGCTGGGTGGTCATCGCCTCATACCGGATCACCATTTGGAAGTACTTGGTGTCCACCTCTTACACTGTGTATGTAAGTGTGGTAGAGCAGGTTACTGGCCAGCCTGGTGGTATGGGGGGGGGGGGGGGGGCACTGGCCTGCCTGGCGGTATAGGGGGGGCACTGGCCTGCCTTGCAGTATAGGGGGGGGTACACTGGCCTGCCTGGGACGGTATAGGGGGGGTACTAGCTGGGGGTACTGGCCTGGCCGGCCGGCCGGCGGTATGGGGGGGGGGGGGGCACTGGCTGGTTAGGGGGGCACTGGTTTGGTGCTATAGGGGGGACACTGGCCGGCCGGGCGTTCTAGGGGGGCAGGTTGGCTGGGCGGTATATAGGGGGGCACAGGTAGGCCGGGTGGTATAGGGGGGAAGTGGCCGGCCGGATGGTATAAGGGGGGCACTGGTTGGCCTGGTGGTATAGGGGGGGGCACTGGTCGGCCTGGTGGTATAGGGGGGGCACTGGCCGGCCTGGTGGTATAGGGGGGCACTGGCTAGCCTGGTGCTATAGGGGGGGCACTGGCTGGCTCGCGGCTATAGGGGGGGCACTGGCCGAGTGGCGGTATAGGGGGGGCACTGGCTGGCTCGGTGCTATAGGGGGCACTGGCCGAGTGGTATAGGGGGGCAGTGGCCGGCCGGGCGGTATAAGGAGCGCAGGTTGGCCGGGCCGCTATAGGAGGGGCACTGGCCGTCCGGGCGGTATAAGGAGGCACAGGGTTAGCCAGGCGGTATATGGCGGGCACTGGCTGGACAGGCGGTATAGGGGGGCACTGGCTGGTTCAGTGCTATAGGGGGGCACTGGCTGGTTCAGTGCTATAGGGGCACTGGCTGAGTGGGTATAGGGGGCACAGATGGCTGAGTGGTATAGGGGGCACTGGTTGAGTGGTATATAGGGGGCACTGGCTGAGTGGTATAGGGGGCACTGGCCGGCCAAGCGGTATATGGGGGGGGGGGGCACTGGCCGGGCATGCGGTATGGGGGAGGGGCACTGGCCAATGTCCTCAGGCTGCTTGTTCATGTAGTTATGTAGTTAATGCTCAATTCCTCACTCATTAAGGACTTTCTGTGGGTTTTCCTTTCTGTGAATTGTAAGAATGACACATAATACAGGTTCTGTGAGATTTTTAGAGAGCCCCCTGTTCAGTACCTCCTTGTACCCCCTTTTTGGTCCTAATACCGTTGAGGTAGGAGCCCCAGAAGGGTCCTGCGGCTTCTCCTGGTGTTGGGGTTAACCACAGACATCACTGTGTCATTAAAGTGGTGGCTGGGGGTCCTTTTAGGGGGCACTGTGCTGGATTCAATCCCAATTCTTCCATCTTGGTGGAGCCCATAGGGCCGGAATACAGAGGTCGATGCTCTTCTGATTAGTATGGGCCGGTGTTGCGGTTCCTTGAATGGATTTGATGGTTTATTTTTTATAAGAAACATCTCCCGCACTTTTCTCCTAATATCTCATACAGCCAATCAGGTGTGGGAGGAATGTATGTTCCGAATTGTATGGTGGATTGAGGGTCTCCTCATCACTCGGGTCTTCACCCCCCGCGGGCCCACCCCACCCCACATAGTAGATGGTTTGGTCAGATGTCTTCCAGATTTCCCCTGTGAAGAGCCCAATATTTCTACGGTTCTCAAGAGGCCTTGAACCCGCCATCCCAGCAGCCATCCCAGGTCCTATTTTAAAGAGAACCTGTCAGTTGAGAGAGGAAGCTGCCTTTGCGGACTTGTTTTTACAGATGTATTATCCAGAGCTGTCATCCCGATCCTTGTGTCACCGGTTGAGCTGTGAATGGTTGTCGTTTGTCCCCGCCCCTGGCACGGTCACTATTGCTGGACAGTGAATGTGGAGAAAAATAGAGCAAAACAAATGTATATGATGAATATTATTGTCACATGTTTTATCTGATGTAATGGTCCCATAGATAAGCAGATCTGTAAATCCTCCCGGATCCTCCCCTTCAGTCTTGCACAGGTGTGCCGGCTCCTCCCCTTCAGTCTTGCACAGGCGTACTGGACTCCTCCCCTTCAGTCGTGCACGGGCCTACCGCACTCCTCCCCTTCAGTCTTGCGCAGGTGTACCTGCTCCTCCCCTTCAGTCTTGCACAGGTGTACCTGCTCCTCCCCTTCAGTCTTGCACAGGTGTACCTGCTCCTCCCCTTCAGTCTTGCACAGGTGTACCAGCTTTTCCCCTTCAGTCTTGCACAGGTGTACCTGCTCCTCCCCTTCAGTCTTGCACAGGTGTACCGGCTCCTCCCCTTCAGTCTTGCACAGGTGTACCTGCTCCTCCCTTTCAGTCTTGCACAGGTGTACCGGCTCTCCCCTTCAGTCTTGCACAGGTGGTGTGTACCGGCTCCTCCCTTTCAGTCTTGCACAGGCGTACCGGACTCCTCCCCTTCAGTCGTGCACAGGCCTACCGGACTCCTCCCCTTCAGTCGTGCACAGGCCTACCGGACTCCTCCCCTTCAGTCGTGCACAGGCCTACCGGACTCCTCCCCTTCAGTCGTGCACAGGCCTACCGGACTCCTCCCCTTCAGTCGTGCACAGGCCTACCGGACTCCTCCCCTTCAGTCGTGCACAGGCCTACCGGACTCCTCCCCTTCAGTCGTGCACAGGCCTACCGGACTCCTCCCATTCAGTCGTGCACAGGTGTACCCAGGGGCGGACTGACCATTTGGAAACTTGGGCACTGCCCGAGGGCCCGGGGTCAGTAGGGGGGCCCCATGAGATGCCCCTGGTACCTTTTTCATAGGCTTTTTTGAGTTTGGGCAAGGACACAGGGGCCCCATGAGTTGTCAGTCTGCCCCTGGGCATACCGGGACTCCTCCCCTTCAGTCTTGCACAGGCGTACCGGACTCCTCCCCTTCAGTCTTGCACAGGCGTACCGGACTCCTCCCCTTCAGTCTTGCACAGGCGTACCGGACTCCTCCCCTTCAGTCTTGCACAGGCGTACCAGACTCCTCCCCTTCAGTCTTGCACAGGCGTACCGGACTCCTCCCCTTCAGTCTTGCACAGGCGTACCGGACTCCTCCCCTTCAGTCTTGCACAGGCGTACCGGACTCCTCCCCTTCAGTCTTGCACAGGCGTACCGGACTCCTCCCCTTCAGTCTTGCACAGGCGTACCGGACTCCTCCCCTTCAGTCTTGCACAGGCGTACCGGACTCCTCCCCTTCAGTCTTGTCCTCTCTTGGACTGAAATTACTTACTCTGATTTCACTCCAATGTGCATTAGAAGCTGCAAGTCAGAAGCTCCGCCTCATTTCCTGGGTGTGGAACATCCAGCATCATCTTAAGCCTTTCCTCCACAGCCTGACTGTCCCTGGCCCCGCCCCTTTCATTAGATATATGTTCTTCCAATCATGGAGGCTCAGTGTCACATGTGGGCATTAGCTCGGTCAGTCTGCATGCAAATACATCCTGCCTAGGAAAGCCCACTCCTCCAGACTGACACCTGCCCAGCAAGTCGTTCTGATATTTGCATAACCCTTCCCCCTGCTTGTACCAGGACTGAGGGATCCTGAGAGGAGTACTAGGGCAGGGTGTTGGGATATTTTTAGGAAGCTATGGACAACACCCTGTGAGCCCCCCATCATCAGCCATGGTCTGCCTACGTTGCATAGAGAAGCACAGAGCAAGTTCTGATATTTACATAACTCCTCCCCCTGCTTGCACCAGGAGTCAGGGATACTGAGAGGAGTACTAGGGCTGGGTGTTGTCCATAGCTTCCTGAAAACATCACAACACCCCTGCCCTAGTATTCCTCTCAGGATCCCTCAGTCCTGGTGCAAGCAAGGGGAGGAGTTATGCAAATATCAGAACGACTTGCTCTGTGCTTCTCTCTGCAATGTAGGCAGACCATGGCTAGTGGGAGGGGGCTCACAGGGTGTTGTCCATAGCTTCCTGAAAACATCAAAACACCCTGTGAGCCCCTCCCACCAGCCATGGTGTGCCCACATTGCATAGAGAAGCACAGAGAGCCAGTGATGATATCACTTCGGTCTAAAATAAGGTATGTAATGAAAAAGGAAAGGTTTTATGTTGATGAGGGGGGAGGGGGAGGACCAAGGAAGACAACCTATAGTATCTAAGGAGCAGCAATAGCGCCACTAATGAGCGTTCGCCCCAAGCCAGAGGCCTCACCTGTTGGGTCAGATCAGCGACAGAAGAAACATTTCGTTATTTTCATTTCCTTTCTGGTGGCTTTTATCCCCGGCCTCATTAATGTCCGTTATTAGGAGATTTCTATGCAGCTGACATCGTTTGATTAGCCGACGCGGAGAACTGCGATCTTTATCTGCTGCGTCCTCTCAGTGACAGAACCGGAATCTCTGTGCGTTTATAGGACGGCCTGCACCGTGTGATGTGCAATATTAATCTCCCCGTACAGAGGGATCCACAAGAATTAATCATGGCGGCTGAGGGGTGGGGCACACATTACCTCCCATAAAACAGCGAGGGGTTTTGTGTGGCTCCGCCCACCATTGTTTGGGATGTATGAGGGGCGCAGAATCTCCGGTCACGGCTTTGTTCACACTGGTGCACTGTAGCCGCGTGGGCAGGTTCACCTGCGTAGGGATGTGGAGGTGTTCATGGATACCGGTGCAGACAGTCCCATTCATGTCAGTTGGGACACAGACATCCGTGTAGGTGCGGTGCGCACACGGTCTGCGTCCACGGCTGTACACACGCAGCGACTGCACCCCAACTGACATGAATGGGAACTGCATGCATGGTGATACACAGGACACCTGTGCAGGGGGCGCCCCTAGGGTTGGTGTCACCCGGTGCGGTAACACTTGGTGTCACCCCTCCGACGATCCCGCAGGATGGATTAGATCTGCAGACTGAGCATAATGGATTGGAGTCTGATCCATTATCCTCCCCAATCCGCAGATCCGATCCATCCTGCGGGGATCATCGGCTTGCAACCTATACGGGGTTAACTGATCGCGCCACGAAAAGGTAAGTTTTAAAGCAAACCGACGATCGGATCTGCAGATTGGGGAGCATAATGGATCAGACTCCAATCAATTTTGCTCAATCCGCAGATCTGATCCATCCTGCGGGGATTGTCGGCTTGCTTTAAAACATAACTGATCGCTCCACGAAAAGGTAACCCCGTATAGGTTGCAAGTCGACAATCCCCGCAGGATGGATCGGATCTGTGGATTGGGAGCATACTGGATCGGACTCCAATCAATTTTGCTCAATCCGCAGATCTGATCCATCCTACGGGGATCGTCTGCTTGCTTTAAAACATACCTTTTCGTGGAGCGATCAGTTAACCCCGTATAGGTTGCAAGCCGAACAATCGTCGCAGGATGGATCGGATCTGCGGATTGGGGAGCATAACGGATCGGACTCCAATCAATTTTGCTCAGTCTGCAGATCCGATCCATTATGCTCAATCCGCAGATCCCATCCATCCTGCGAGGATCGTCGGCTTGCTTTAAAACATACCTTTTCGTGGAGCGATCAGTTAATCCCGTATAGGTTGCATGCCGATGATCCTCGCAGGATGGATCGGATCTGCGGATTGGGGAGCATAATGGATCAGACTCTGCGTACCCCTTAATCTCTGGGGGGGTCAAAGTTGCCAACCATCCGTAAATTCGCAGATAGTTTGTAAAATTTGGGATTTTTACATCTGTTCAGCTATGCAGTATAAGATTCTCAAACCGACCTAGAGCCAGTGAGATATATCAACATCTGTGGCCTCAGCAAGTGCTACTCCGGCCATGCTCCATAAATGTCACATTGCATCACAGCCCCCAGAGTCCCAACTTACATCAGAGCCCCCAGAATGCAACTTACATCAGTGCCCCCTTACATCCTCCAATGTGCCCCCTTACATCATTGCCCAGAGAGTGCCCCCTTAGATCCTCCAGAATGCCCCTTAAATCAGTGCCTGCAGAGTGCCCCCTTACATCCTCCAGAGTCCCACCTTACATTAGAACCCCCAGAGTGCAACTTACATCAGTGCCCCCTTACATCCTCCAATGTGCCTTCTTACATCGGTGCCCAGAGAGTGCCTCCTTACATCCTCCAGGGTGCCCCCCCCAGGGTGCCCCCTACATCAGTGCCTCCAGGGTGCCCCCTTGCATCCTCCAAGATGCCCCTTAAATCAGTGCTTCCAGGGTGCCCGCTTACATCCTCCAGGGTGCCCCTAAATAAGTGCTTCCAGGGTGGTGGCACCGGTGCCCCCTTGCATCCTCCAGGGCGCTCCTTAAATCAGTGCTTCCAGGGTGCCTCCTTACATCCTCCAGGGTGCTCCTTAAATCAGTGCCTCCAGGGTGCCCCTTTACATCCTCCAGAGTGCCCCCAACATCCTCCAGAGTGCCCTCTTACATTAGTGCTTCCAGGTCAGTCCTTACATCTTGCAGAGTGCCCCCCTTAGTGCCGTAGTAGGCCACATATAGTAACACATTACGTCATTAGTTTGGTCCTGATGTTTTGCCAAGTGGTTGGAGAAACATTACTGGGATACGTTGTTTGGTCCTGATGTTGTAGCTAAAGGGACTTGCTGGGATGCATTGTTTGGTCCTGATGATGTAGTTGTTGGGACTAATGGGGATACAATACTATGTTCAGTCCTGAAGTTTTGCTGAGTGGTTGGAGAAACATTACTGAAATCTGTTTAGTTTCTGATGTTGTGGTTGGAGGAACTGAAATCTGTTTAGTTCTGATGTTGGAGGGAACATTACCAGGATGCATTGGTTTGGTCTTGATGTTGTGCCGTGTGGTTTGAGGAACTTTACTGGGATACGTTGTTTGGTCCTGATGATGTATTTGAAGGAACATTACCAGGATGTGTTGTTTGGTTGAGATGTTGTCCCATATTTGGCAAGTGGTTGGAGGAAAAGACCAAAATACATTGGTCCTGATGTTGTGTGGTTGGAGGAAAATTACCGGAATGTGTTTAATTCTGATGTGGTTGGAGGAACGAAACTGTACCCCTGTCCTGCCTGTGTAAAGTGACCCTGAGATATCCGTGTCACCTGGTCCTAACTTTGTGCTGTGTGGTTGGAGGAACATTACCGGGATGCACTGGTTTGGTCTTGATGTTGTGCCGTGTGGTTTGAGGAACGTTACCGGGATGCGTTGCTTGGTCCTGATGTTGTGCCGTGTGGTTTGGAGGAACATTACCGGGATGCGTTGCTTGGTCCTGATGTTGTGATGTGTGGTTGGAGGAACATTACCGGGATGCGTTGCTTGGTCCTGATGTTGTGATGTGTGGTTGGAGGAACGTTACCGGGATGCGTTGCTTGGTCCTGAAACCTGCCATGTGGTTGGGGAATCCTGATTGGATACATTTAGTTCTGATGGTGTGGTTGGAGGAACATTACCAGGATGCGTTGCTTGGTCCTGATGATGTACCGTGTGGTTTAAGGTACATTTGGATTTGTTGCTTGATCCTGATGATGGAGGAACATTCTCTGGATATGTTTGGTCCTGATGTTGCAGTTAGAAGAACGTTACTGGGATATGTGGTTTGTTCCTGATGTTGTGGTTAGAGGAACATTACTGGGATTACTGCATCCTACGAAGTGTTAATTCCAGCATCAACCTGTATAATGGAGTGGTTTTAGGGAGCAGCAAGTCCCTCGGCGTGCGGTGACACCCCTGCTTCTGAGGCTTTGGCTGGGATTAGAGCAGGCTGTGATTGTGGGGGCAGAGGGAGGGGGGCTCGTGAAATCGATCCACAGCTCAGGAGAAGGCGGTACAGCATCACTTCTGTGCCATCCTCAGGGAATACGGCTACATCAGAGGGGGCCTCCTTCATCCACAGCCGGCCAGCCATGAGTCCTCTCTTGGATCATGTCTGACTCTTTCTGGACAGTTCTGTCCAATTTTTCTCTGCCGGAGACCAACATGCTGAGAAGATCCAAGAGGTAAGCAGCTTCCCGAGTCGTCTCCGCTCACTCTGTATTGTTTAGGCTGCCAGATTCTGTGATTGCTTGTGTTATTAGTAGAGCTGTAGGTGGTTGGTGCCGGCACTCCCAGCCTGGACTCCTGATAATGGAAATGTCGGTCTCTCTGAGGTGTGTTGGATGCCTTCCCAGAGGTTGGTGTGGGGGGTGGGGGGGTCTTCTTTGTGCCAGGGTTGGCAGCAGCAAGTTTGGGAGCTTCCCCTGAGTAGTCAGATCCCTCAGGAGCCCCCTTCATGCTGTCTGTACATCGGACAACTCTGGGACTGGGAGGTCCCAGGATCATCCTCCATCCAGGG